GAGAATTTTGGGTTTGTAAATTAGCAAGAATTTTGATTGGTTGCAAAACTACATACACATTTGGTGGGCTAAACTCGGGTTGTGAACTGTAATTGTAAGTTTTGATTATGATTATAAAATATATAAATTTTGTAGACAAACTGATATATTTGTGGCATCATATTTTCAGATGATACTTTATCAATCCACATTTTGACTTTTTTTATTTCACTAAAGTCATGACATTAAAAATGACCAAACGATTTTCAGTTTAATGCATGTTTATATTTATTATTTGATTATTTTATGTTTAAAAACTATATGCAGTATTTTCTGACACGTGATATAGGGCGAGTTTGTTTTCATACAATGTAAACTTACATGGATTTACTTTTGAATTCATTGTTTTTAGGTTTGGTATTATGGTTTTGAGTTTGAAATGATTAACTCAAATTATCCCATGCAAATTCATTTTTTTTTAGGAAAAGTTATTTGTTTTTTTGATTGACAGAGGTTTTATGTTTTGTATGGGAATAATGAGGAGTTGTTTTTAGTTCCTACATTGCATTGTGCTTGAGTTGAGTTCAATAAACTGTGTATACCATCAGATAATGCATTTGTCAATAGTAATACTTCTATTATGGTGTCATGAGAACATTAATATTTATGGTCATAGTCATAATACATTTTACCACGATGCCTTGACAACGATTACACTAAATTGATTGTGTATGTTTTTTTCTGATTTGTGAGATTTCAATAGGTGAAATTTTGCGTTTCTGGGTAAAATGTGCTTGCTCTCTATTCATCTAAGATGATCTAAATGTTAGACATTCTAATTAACATATAAAGTAACTCCATGGTACATGGACCAGTCAAGTAAGTTTTTTTTTGCTAAAAAATACATCTAAAAGGTTAAAAAAGTAATTTTGTACTTTGTGGAATTAAATTAGAAAGCTTTGTATGTAATTGTTGTAGATTAATGAATCTACACTACATTTACTTAGCAATAACAATTGAAAATTTTATATTCACTACATTAGTTTGTCACATTGCCTTTTATATCTCAATTATAATTAACAAAGTGATCATTGTTGCACTTTCTATCTTTATTTAGTTATTAAATTCATCTATTTAAATTCTCACTTAACCCTCTTATTATGTCACCCCACAATTATGTATTTTTTGAGGTAACAATAGTGTGACCGAAGGTTTATCTTTGTTTTGGTGTAGTGTAAGGGTTATACACGTATACGATATTTCTTGACTCAAAGTTATAATAAATCAACAAGTGGTATGTGTATGTGTGTGTGAATCGCTAATGGAAGTTTGTTAATTTGTTAATTTTTCAGAGGAGAGGTTCTTTGACTTTATTGGGCAATTCGTACTGAATGACGTCAGAAGTTATGAAAGGAAAATTTGGTGATACTACATCTTTGAGGTGAATAAGATAGTCACGAGACTGCACATTCATGGGACATGGTCCCCTTTTCGTTGAAACTTTTGGAATTCAAATTAGTGCAGATTAATTACGCTTTGTTTTTTATGGTTATTAGGTATGGTCCTAATAAGTTTAATCGTATAATTTTTTTATTAAATATGAAATTTAATTATCATAACAAGCTTACTTTATTTGAAATTCTAGCTCTAAGTTTAGATTATCATTTTTTTTTCTTTTAAAGGTTTTAGGACTTTTGTCATTTGATATCTAAAGGTCAATGATACTAAATATCTTAGTTTGTAACATCTTAGTTTATTTAAATTTTACTTTGTAGAGTCCATATTCGTTAGCGATTATTGAAATTTTGTGTAATACATTTATTTCGAACATGGATACATGTTTGCNAAAGTCCATATTCGTTAGCGATTATTGAAATTTTGCGTAATACATTTATTTCGAACATGGATACATGTTTGCAATTTTTTTATGAGTTACATAGTAGCTTCAGGCACGGCCAATTACTAATATATCTATATCGGCGAGTTTTGTTTTGTTTTTTTATCCAAAAGGCATAAAGTTTTGTTTTTTTATATAAAGAATACTAGTCATAACCCGTACGTGAAGACATTATAAAATATAAAATTCGAGCGTCCAAAAAATCGATCCCACTATATTATTTTTTTTCAAAATATTTTAACTACAAATTAATTAAATATTAAATGATTAAATATATGATAGAAATGAGTGTGTGATATTTTTAGGGAGGAGATATATAAATGATTAAATATGTGATAGAAATGAGTGATGCAATTTGACGTTTGAGTCTGACAAAGGGATGATGGGTGAAGAAAGTAATTGGTGATAATTTTTGAGGGAAAAAATATGACTGGGAATAAAATTCAAACACACTCCTATTTTATTATATAGATTGCTATAGGCTCTATTTAAGTTTCCTCTGTTCAAAATTTCAAATTTCTTTGAAAGTTTTGGCACCAAAAAAATAGTAAAAAGTTGAGAACAAACAACATCCCATAATCACACTTACAGGAAAATATAATATTAATGTGCCATTTGTAAGTAACTGGGCCTATTCTATCCATCGTTGATGAGAGAGTCATGTTGGGAACAAAGCTGGCACCAGCAGTGGGATTGGCCACAGTGCATATCTCATTTAGTAATAGTGTTGCAGCAGAGTTTGCATTTAGGCTTTTGTCATGTACCTGGGAGGCCTGACTTTGTCCTAATAGATCCCTTCTCGCAATGATTTTTCCCTACTCGAAAAGTGAAATAAAATATTAGAGACTAATTTAACCTGAATCGACCACACATGAAAATAGATATTTTTTAATAAATTTATTTTGACATNTTAGAGACTAATTTAACCTGAATCGACCACACATGAAAATAGATATTTTTTAATAAATTTATTTTGACATCAAAATTTGATTTAATCTATAATATAAAATATGACAGATTTCAATAAATTTATCTGATGCTTTCAAATAGAATCATTCAATGGTCACCAAATATCCCTCTCAAAATTATTTATATTGATTAAAGTTACACCGTGTCTTCAAGCATGGGTTAACCCTAGTTTGCTAATATAATGATGCAGTTTTAGTAGAATTATTGGATCAACACCAAATTCTAATGTTTAATAAGACTCGTAGTCAATCCAAATGCCATAATAAATTAGGTAAATATAAATTAAATTAATAAATTAGATCTTAATAACATTTCTAATTTTTTTTATACGTTAATAGTTGATATAATAAGCATGTTTGGAACTGATTTCTTTTAGTCAATTTTTAAAATTTGTCTAAATAAGTTTTTCTGAGTCAAAAAAAACTATTAAATAAACTAGTAAAAAAGTCAATATCTAAAGAAACCCAACTTATTTTACTCAAAAATCTTTAAAAATTACATATTTAACCTAATTCCAAATACACCCATTATCACTTCTCAATTCTCTTTTGTCGTCAAATACCCCCCCCA